ATAGATAACGTTTTTTTACGTTTTTTTTGTAATTCAGTCGATAATAATTTTACTGTCGTTATATCGTAATATACATTGTTAAATTTATTCGTTGTTCTAGAGTTGGCTCTCAGAGGAGTCAGAGACTCGTGATCGGGGAGTTAAATTAAATTCTAGCTGCATGTGGTATTGTGCTCCATTTTTAATATCCAATATTAATAATGCATCATGGGCCGGAAAGATATGCGATAACGTCGATATACACGGCGATATGAAAATTCACACAAACAGGATAGTAGGAGAGACATTATTTTCGCGCATTATTTCGCATATTTTGCGTCTTCTACCGCGCGGCATTAATCATTTTTATGAATTACACAGCCGTGGTGTGCTAATACATTATATTTACGTGCATAAAGCTCACTATTTTATCCAATACAGAATTATAAAATTAATCGCACTTCGACGATGCCAAAAGCAATACGCGATTGGATAGCGCGTTTGATTTAATCGCCGCAACACGACCACGATCGATACGTCGCGCGCGATATTTCGATGCATCGGATGCGCAGCAAATTTCGGAAATATTCGGATCATTAATCAAAATAAATTTACACAATAGAAATCCGAAATAATTCTTTTAACAATTTAACTGCCTATAAAAGAATACATTTTAATAATGCAAATATATTGGATAGTTGTGGTTATTAACAGGTCAATTCGCTCAGATATACATAGAATATTCTGCATATGTTAAATAACATTACATCCCTTCGACATGTATTCAGATTTAAAGAATTTTTTTTACTTTTTATTCGATTTCCGTAAAACTTATGTATAATACAAAAAAAAAAAGAACAAAATGTTTACAGTTTGTATTATAAGTGGAAAAACGTGGCGGGTTATTTGGTTTTAAAAAGTGAGGAAGAAAAGTTGATTACACAAAAAAGAAATTTTACAACAACGAACCGTGAAAAATTGATACAAAAAGACAGCTTGATCAAATTGCAACCGAAAATTCGCAACTTTAGAGATACGAAACGGAATAAGCATGTCGATGGACACGCGTTATTGAGCGCATTCGGGCGTGTAATTTCCGTGGCTATCATTGACTCTAGGTGAGTCTGGAATTTAATATTAATACAGAACGCTCGAATTTCGAGAATACCGTCTGCGATATCGGATGGCCGGTCTAATTCCGCGACAACGCCAACTGCACTGACAACGACGAGCGGTCATGCATTCTGCAGGAATGTACTTTCCTGGTTTTAAAGCATACGCTCAAACGAGGAATGCATTGACACACAAACGAACTGCTAGACGCATACTATCTGACAGCCCGTTGTGTTGTTGTTGTTGTTATTTTTTAATTAGTATCGTTACTAAAATACCTGTCTACTATGGAACGCTTTACAAATCCTTTAATAAAATTATTAAGAACGTATTTCACAATTCACAGCACTATCAAAACATAAAAAAACATAAAACTTCATTTTAATTGTTCTATTATCATATCTGGGTATTTGTGTAAAATTTGAGCATAATTCTCTTATTGATTTAAAAGTTATTTAATCCTATGTAAAAATTTTGTAATACTGATTTTTAAATTTGATGAGGAAGTAACATTATAAATTCAATTAAATTTTTTATATATTCAATTAAAACTTTAATAAATATTCGTTCAATGTACTTCATTTGGAAATACACTTATTCGTTCAAAAGTCATTTATCTAAAACTGCAGCAAAGAGTAATTGCGTATAGTAATTGCGCTGTATTAGCTATTAAAAGCTAAATAATTTGTTGTCCTTTTTGTTATTTGTTTCAGGTGTAAATACAAAATTTTTTGAGGTGTAAATACAAAATATTCATTGGCCGATTTTTTGATATTTTTAAAATTGTACAATTAAAATTTCCTAATAACAAGACGAAAAAGTCAAGACCAACAGATGGAAGTAAAAGAATAATTTTAATAGCATAAAAAATGTGTACGCTCAAAAAAAAGACATTGTGATAAGAACTGTGCATAAAGGTGAGAAAAATTATGATGGCAACTATAAAGATGACAACTATATAAGTTTTATGTAGTACATATAATTAAATAAATTTTACAGTTGCAATAACTACAAAATGATTTTTATTTAATTATATACATGTATGTGTATGTGTGTACATCAGTCCTACACATAAAATTTGTATAGTTATCACTTTTATAATTGCACCTATTTTTTTTTCTCTTAGTATAGAAATTACAAGAAACGAATTTCTAAGAAGAAAAATGTAAGATAATTCCGAGATGGTCGTTAAACTTCTTGGATATATCAGACTAATTGGAAGCTTCAGGTTAAAATTCTGTTAAACTAAAGTTCACTTAAATCTTAAATCCACCTGAAGAAAAGAGATTATCCTCCATTTGCGCTCATGAAACTTGATTAGTCAAGAGTCATTACGCTCTGTTATTAAATAATTCTGACTCGTGACAAAATTTCATCGAGTTTGCGAACCTTTTGAATAAAGAACTCGTAAAAAAATCTATCTGGTACAAATATACATACACGAGTAACGTTGGTTTACGTATTCGGTACACGATAACCGCAGATAACGGAATAGGCCGAACGCTGAAAAAAAGACCACCGATTGCAATTGTTTATGCAACCCGCTAGATCGGAACAACGTGCGACGGAATTTATCGGCGTTCGCCGATAAAAAAAAAGGGACAGAAAAAAGGAAAAAGCGACACGCGCGATCTCGGAATATCGAGTTCCGTAAATCGCGGGGAATAACAGGGAGAGAGTCAGCAACACACTGTTCTCGCTGTCGTTTCCAACGGATTCGCGTAATCGCCGGGGCACGCTGTACCGGGTACCGTCGACGCGACTCGACGCGATGTGGGAAACGGTCCTTCCGGAAGGGCGTGCGCGAATATTTCGAGTCGCGCGGCGCATCGCGCATCCTGGCGCGGCTCCGGTGCATAAATTTCGGACGTGCCGGCTATGGTTTATACCGGCGGGATTAAATAACTTGACCCACCAGCAACATATCACGGCCGTGTACGGCACGCGCGTCGACCTCCCCGCGCCCTTCGTACACGCGTCCTGACGTGCAGCGAGCGTATCCGCCCCAACGCCGACGTCGCCGACGCGACGCGGCGACGTGATTGCAATGTACATACGCGCCACCCACGTCGATCTGCATGCCGCAATTTTTATTCATACACAGCTATCACGTGTGATAGCTGTGATTATCTTCATTATCGCTGTTACCGTTAATACTTCTTTCTGTTAATAACGGTAGATTACATCTAATGAGCGATATTTGTATTAATAACGGTGCTAATTAATACTAATTAAGATGATTTTTGCGTCTTTTAATAATAGATCTTGCTATGTGTAGAAAAAGAGATTATGCAATTTATTCTATTAGATACGAAACGAGCAACACAATGACGTTCAAAATATGTTAATGAACGTTATAAATTGTGTAATAAACGTATAAACTAAAAAATAAATGTTTTAAAACGATTTTTTTATTAGTTTAAAATATCGTTTTTATACGAGACATTTCAACCGTTTAATCCTCCGTTTACAATTTGGGTCTTTTTGGAGCAAAATTTCACTCTCAAATTTCTCCGAAATAGAGAAGGGAGTCCAATTTCTCTGTTGCTTAGTTACATATTTTTAAATAAATTTTCTTTTCTCTTTCTTGTTCTTTTTCTCTTTCTTATTTAAACTTCAGTTTTTATAAATAAAGGTTTTCATTTAAAAGACTCAGATAGTATAGACGGAGAAAATATAAATATTTGCAAATGAAGAGTTAATAAATATATATTTAATATTGATAACGATGATAAAATCTATTTAACATTTTTATACATCATAAAATGTTTCGTTTAAATGTTTTTTAAACGCAAATAGTTCGCTTTATAGGTATTGAGATGTTTTTCTTGAAAACAAATTTTACTTCAGAAATGAAATGATCCTTACTGCATTTTACTACTTGAGAGTAAATGAAGTTTATTCGCGCAATTCAAGCAACGCGATCGACTATCAATAATTTATAAAAAGTACCGAGTTCAACCGTTCGTCAAGTTTCGTGGTAAGAAATGAGTTGGGAGGGTCTCCGGCCATTTCCGGTGGAATGTCCGGACTTCGTAGTTTGATTAATCAAGATTGGCAAAGCGTGCTGTAAGTGCCGAACTAACCCCTACTGATACTTAGATGAAAGCCAAACCCGAGCTCCAATAAGGTGAATCAAGTTTGTCAACTCTGATCTACCAGCACTTTCAAGGAACCAAACACAAGAGATACGCGCATGTTATGTACGTTATCGGGGTCGTCAGTGGGTTAGGATAAGAGAGTGCAATGACCTGGCAACTTTTGGCTCCGTTTAACTAATAGATTATAATTACTCTACTGACGAATTAGATTTCAGGCGAAAGGCGAGCGGAGAGATAAAGAATAAAGAAGAAACATTGTAAAAATTTAATAAAATATGTAATTAAAATTTTTATCTATTGCATGGACACATGTAAAGCCAACGTTGTATGTTAAACTTATAATTAAAAATTACTGGTTTTGATAATCTATATAAACATTTATTGTGAAGATTAAACTAAAAAATTTAGATACTGAAATTTCAATATTTTTCGAGTTACAAGAAAATAAAATGGTCAATTATAAACGCGTAGTATTTATGCCTTGAAGTAATTGCTCTAATTGCCTTTACATATCAGTCTATCATTTGTATCAACTGATATAGCTCACAAGCAAACAGTCATAAAAACTCACAAATGCGGCCATTAATCGTGAGCATTTAATTAAGGAACTATATCCCTAATATTGAAAAAGAAAATTAGCATTTTTGAGATAATAAAAGGAAATAGATCCTAAAGATTTAAGGTTCAATTTCCTTTCATTATCTCAGAAATATTAATTTTCTATTTGTATCCTTTTTCTATAAAACACAGCGACAGGTACAATAATAGCTATAAAATATTTCCTATTTTTCGTATATTTTTTTTTCTTTACTTCCTATTTCTTATTTCTTTTTTATTTACGCAATACTAGTATAAATTTTCTATAAACAACGAATTCGAACAATTTGCACGCCATGAAATTACTGTTTTGTTGTATATTATGACACCAAAAGCGCTAGTAAATGGCTAACCGATCAATAATGCGTTAATAACAATTACCTATATTCTATCAGCTTTGAATATGTGTATTCTTGTATGCACAATAGATCAACGGACGGTTACGCTATATCCTAGGCTGATTTAAACATTTGCATTAATCTGTCCTAACCTATCTATTTTAGTATATATGTATGTATGTATGTACATACATATGACATATGCATGTTGTATTTAACTGTGAATGTATATATTCGCAGATCTATTATCTCGGATTAAAATAAAAGGTAATATGGCATTCACCGATGCGATACAATGCTGTAGTTGTAACTCTATTATAACAGCGTCAGTCTGCAAAATATAAATATAAAATTCAAATCATAACGCTAAAAATAATAAATATTTAGAGAAATATTGTGCGCATCGAGCTTCATATTCGTCTTTTTTATTTATCAAGTGAATCAATGTTCACTAAAATAATTACACAGTTTGCGGAAAAATTCTTTTACCGAGTTTTTATAAGCATCATAAATAACCTTTTTTTCTCTTATTTTTATCATACAAATACATTGCCCAAGTAAACGGAAATAGATGAATTGAGCAAAAAGCAAATAATACAGTGTTTCAGATCACCCAGAAGGAAATGCAGGAAAATCTATTCAAATTTTCTTCTTAAAGGTATTCATTGCGTGTTTGAACTATATAAATATTTTGAACACCTCTAACAATAAGAAAGACATTTAAAAAAGACAAAAAATTTTCCTCCATTTTTTTTTATTAAAGACATGAATTAATAAGAAATATTATTTCTTCTTTTTAATAAAAGATATTAACTTTTTTATTTAAAGATGTTTTTCTTTCAATAAACTTATCTAATGATATCTATCTTACATCATGTTTCAATTTAAAATTTAAAAGTTTACATAATAAGTGAGAAATATGAAGTCGACAAGAGGGCGCCGAAGCTAGATCTTATGGTCCTAATAAATTGTTTATTATTGTTTAAAAGTTTACTACAATTTTTCTTACTTTCAGTATATTCCTAAAAGCACAAATACTACCATCGGATTTATCGCATAAGCTTTGGTCAAATTTTATAATTTGATAAATTAAAAAATTTTTAATTTAAGCCACCAATAATTTTTGATGTCCAGAAAAATTAATGATTTATAATCTGTGACATTTCCTTATTTTTTTTATAAATTGAAAATAAAAATTTAACTAAAAGTTATTTATTTAAAAAAATATCCACGAGATAAGTACCTTACTTGATTTACGATGTTCGTATTTAATATTTTGACATGACTATGTTTATCTTATTTCCTGTAGTTTTCAGAAAACTGAAACGCCATCGTTAGATAATTCAAATAGACTTTAGTAATAAAAATTTTTCCCCAACTTCCAACTACTATTTATTTTTGAAGAAAAAGAGAGTAGTACAAGTAGTTTGAATAAAATACTTTGTATATAAATAATGAATTACTTACCTCATGGCTGCTTTGTTTGATATCACCTGAATTTTTTTTTCTCCCCTTCTTTTTCTTTCGCAAGTTCACCTGCAAAGATTATAATTTACAATCATATTCATAATAACCACTAAAACATATCACTAATCATGCGATACTTTGTACTACGACGTTAAAAACATGAAATATTTTTAATAAATAATAGATATATTACAATAAATATATTTCATTATTTGAATTATTTATAACGATTTATATCACTTTGCACTTAATTTAAAAATAACGGTGAGCAAATTACATTAAAACCGATGGAAGATTTAAAAAATGTAAAGCTAGATATGTATTTAAAAAATTTTTCAAAAAATATAGTTATTGTTATACGTAAAAATAAATTAATGTTTAGTTTCCATTATTCATCTATTCTTACTTCAACTAGATGAATGTCACGCAAAATATCTATTTGAGTAAATTGTCATCGCCTTGAACACGCTTATAAATCGTTAATTGCCGACTCAATTAATCGTGCAAATTGATAGACGCTAATCATCAATAATTACGTTTCGAGGAACAACTGGGCTCGAAACTCAGTTCGAATAATCATCACGCAAATGATAGCAGTGTACGCACCAATGCAAAGAAAAAAAAGAAACAACTACCATAAATTTATGCTGTATATACTTTATACATACGTGCCTCGAAATATTTAATGCTTCGTAAAATAAATTCGCATTTTATTCTATTTCTGCATTTTAAATTAACTTTGATGAATAAATTATTGTTGTATATTAAATGTGACATTTATTTGAAAAACACATCTTAATTATATTTAAAGAAGTATTTATTTAAATTAATTTATTATTTTGTATCAAAAGTGTATTGAAATCCGAATTTATTATAAATTATATACTTTTGGTAAAAAATAATAAATTAATTTAAATAAATTATAAATACTTCTTTAAATAAATTCATAAAAAGGAATGTAAAATGCTTGCTGTTGAAATATTAAAGAAATGCAATGTCGCGAAATGATTATACTAAGATCAAAACTAATTTATATATAATAAAAGTAAAATAATATATATATATATATATATATAATAAAATTCTCTCTCTCTCTCTTTCCTCTCCCCAATTCTTTCGATCACTAGAGATTATCAGGGCTTCCATTTTATTTGTATAACTTACTGGAATTACAATTGCGACGTGCTGATCTAGAATTTCTTCGTTGGTGTAGTCGCGCCTTGCTTTGTCCGCTGGCAGCTAGGCAAATCTTTGCTCAATTAATTAGCAGTAATTGCAATTTAGTCGACGAACGTGGAAACAAGGACAGAGCTGGAAGTTTCCGCCAGTGTATACGTGGCATTCGCTCGTAGTCAGATATTATTCGACTATAAGAACGTACACAGGTACACCGAGAATTACGAGCTGTGCAGCAATAAAATTAATCCTTTATTCGCGCGCAAAGATAAACTTATACAATCCATCATTGCACGAGCGCATCTTTCGCGATTAAATCTAGGAAATTTACGCGGAAATTACAAACTTTTATTTACGTGACTTGCAATGAGACATTGTCATATTAAATTCAGTTCTTAGCAGTGGATCACATTTAAAACAATGCGTTCATCTCGACAAATAAATGGATTGAAGAATATATTTTAGAATAGTATGAAGATTTTAGAATAATGCAGAATAGAATAACTTCGTAATTTGTACCGTCCATTTATATTTGTGCTACATTTATTATAATGTATAGATGTATAAATTTTGTTATATGCTATAGAAATTCCATAATCTTAACCATAAACTTAAGATATCTCGATTAATGGAAAATATAAAGAAGCTATTAACTTTCTCGTCGCAAATAAATTGATTCCAGAGCGAAATTATTATTTTATCATCGATAAGTCCTTTGTTGAGAAGGATGCAGTATTCGAGAAGACAGCATTGCAGAGACGAGCGAAAAGATTGAAGGGACAATTTCTTTCCCTTCATATGCTGTCTCTCGTGGACCGCCAATCCCGTTTTTATTATGACTCAATCGTCCGTATCTTCCGTAAACCATGGCGCTTTGCAATATGAGCGACGTCGTTTTCTCGACAAATGCGGGAGATTCCCATGACGACGGCAACCGGAATGAAATCTTTATAGCTTATTGAACCGAGCTATATCCAGCTTCGATCGCTACGTTCTAAAAAAGAAGTTACTTATAATATTCGATAGTTAATCGACAGACATCTTCTCCATCTTAAAATTTTTCTCACGAACGTATATGCCGATATTCATAGTCGGTTCTTATATTTAAAGTTGTCTCAAGTAAAATCTTAATCCAGTAAACACAAAGTTAATATAAACAATATTAAGAATATTTATTTAATATATATATTAACATAACGTCAATATTATAATTTTATATTTTTTTAATATTCAATAATGTAACCGTTACTAAAAATAACGTACGTTATGTTTATATTATTAAATATAAAACTATAACGTTGATGTTATATCACTGGTAGTTGATGTTTATTAATTGTAAGATGATTTCATAAAATATAGAGCTGTATTAGCACCTTAAAACACTACTTTAAGAAGATCTTAAAGATCTAATAAGAACGAACTATGAATATATGTTTTGAAGTTATGACAAATTTTTGATAGCAAATATATATTCGCTAATTAAAGCGAATGATTTCTGTAATTATCAAGGATATATCTAGCAATTGTCAAATGCTGTAATGTTAGGCCCCTTGATCATCTAATGTGTCATCAGCAGTCTAATGTGTCACCAATAACTAACACAGACATACCCAATAACAGTTAGAGTATCTTCGTAGTAATGATCAATATTGACAGCATTATTGGATTCTCCTTACTTTTCCGAACAGTGCTGTAATTGATGCGCCAGTCAATTAATATAGTATGTACATGACAATATATACTGATTAGACTCTGACCAGATCCTATAATTCCGTCTAGATCACGACTTAGTTAATTTAGCTTCAATCCAATTGCGCTCTTTCCATTCATAAAACGTATAAAAAATTTGCATAAAAGGGCACAGATATAGGCGATGATCGTTTAAACTAAACGATCAATTCAATCCCAACGATATTATAATATAATAGGATAAGCTGTTCCGTGTTATTACGTTCTTAACTACGGATATATTCGAGACGCGCATGGAGGACTATTGTCGTGATATAGCGCGTACGAGCGACGCTCTGAATCCTTGAATATGTCCTGCGGTCACGTCTTACTATTATAATAGTTTGGCAATTTTATCCTGTTCCCGGTAGTTACACTTTGAGCTCCTCGCTGTGTGAGAGTAGAATTATTCGTCGTCGAAAACTTTACGTAAATAATATAAAATGTATTTAGTAATCCATAATAGCCGATAAATTTGTTATTTTTATATAAAAATAACAAATAATTTTAGCTAGGAATTCTACTTGTAATAAAAAATATATAATCTATATTTTTGACCTTTTTAAGCGTTGAGAATCATAATTTATTATTTTGTCGAGATTTTAATTAGTAGATATTTTTATATCACTAATAATTAAAATTTTTCAAAAATTACCGAAAATAATATCTTCAAATTTAACTGAAAAAAAAAACAGTAAATAAATTATTATCAATTATTATTGTAAAGAAAAAAAATTAAACTTTAGCGCTATGTATATCATGTTCAAAAATTGAAACAGTGATTGTTAAGAAAAAGAAATATTCAACTTTGTAATAACATATTATTTTCAAAGTCATTACTATGTCTATGGAATTCATACTTATATTGTTCTAGGACTTTCCTTAGGCGGCGGATTGATAGTTCTGGCATCAGCATTGTCGGATGCATCACTAGAGTTACCGGGGAAATACAGTTTGCCGTCAACTGCCGGCATGCAAATGGACGATAACGGTCTACCTCAGTACCACTACGGCTGGTGCCTACAACTCTCGGGATTAGCGTTGATGCTCGCGGAAGTGGCGGCCGTTTTAACAATGTCTGGTTACATGGCACGGTTCTCCACGGTCGAAGAGATGGTGAAGTTGTCGATTAAAACTTTCGCCACAGATTGGCTTGTTTGGTTTTAGCTAGGGATTCACTTGGACCCATTAGATCCCAGTAAAACGTGAAACATCTGTCCGTGGTCGCACAAGTGGATTTCTAGCTTTATCAACATGTGTTTTTTCGCAATCATGTTTCGTTTAATCAAAGGATATTCATGCTCTTTGTTTTCCTTTTAGGTGAGAGTCATGGTTCCGGGTGCCGAAAGAAAGCTGAGGGAACAGAGAGGATTTAGCTCAGAGTATCTTGTGAGAGCACATCAGAAATCACCGGGACCACCGCAGGCCCGACCTTTCGGCCAATCAACCAAAAGTGGGTGAATTTATTGCTAAAGAGGGTGTCCCGCGTATGTACAATATGATGCGACACATCGCATATTTACGTAATTGAAAAGATTGAAAAATCCATTATGCGTCCAAATTGTATGATCGAATAGAATTCTAGGATCCAGAGATTCGAGAAAATTCCAATGGTCTATAGAAAATTTTTTTAAATCTTCTAAATGCTGCGGAACACCCTGTAAAATAAACAATGATTTCTCATGCTTCGGAAGAAAGTAAATCCATTTCTATGTCCTAGCGCCTCAAAAAATAGCCGAAGAAGGAACTTCATTGCTCTGCAAATCGGCGCCTGATATTTGCGCGTCGAATCCACAGGCCATCAGTTATGTCGATAAGGCAGACCTATCGCACGTCCTGCCAGTTTACCCGGACAGCAAGAACATCGACCCACGGTATAACAATTTCGATAAGTCGGAAGGCAACGTCGTAGATTCTCGATTGAGCGGTTTCACTGATAAAGAAGGCTTCATTGATTCTCGAATTCTATCCGATTCCAGACAAAACATGATCGCTTTTACGGATAACAAGGAATCTGATCAGGAACAACGATACACTGAATTCTCCACGAGAAATACCGACCAGAATATTGTAGATTCTAGATTGAGCGGCTTCGTCGATAAAGAGGGTCTTCTCGATTCTAGATTAAGTGGCTATGTCGATAAGAATGAATCCTTACTGGATACTCCGTTCGGTTTCGACACTAGATTCAACAGTTTGGCTGGACAAACTGTTCCAATCACGCTAAAGAATCAGAATGCCTCGGTATCGGCTATTCAGTCACAGTATATATATCAAAATTTTGGAACAATACATTCGGGCATTCTTAAAGTATCAGAACCTGGTACTAGTTCCAGTTCCAATTCCAGTCAACGTAGCATGACCTTACAAAATCCAAAACGGAAGTCGCAAATCGCTCAGAATACCTTTAGCACGATGGAATGCGAAAAGAGGAAGCGAGCGTCCGGGCTAACTGGCAAGGCGAGCTTTTACACTGGAAGTGCTGTATGACCACCACCCCCACCTCCGACACCAAGGTAACTCCCAGAAGAGGACACCCCATTGTAGCCGGAACTCAATGCGACTTTCGAGTTGGGTCGGAGGATATTCATCACTGATCGCGCCTAAAGGGAGAGAAAAGAATGAATTTTTTACCAACTAAAGATAACTCTGCCGTATTTACTAAAAATGCGTTTAACGGTACATAAAAAAAACACGTTTTTGTCAATCATCGGCATTGCAGGTTCTTACGATTTAAACAAGCTGCCAAAAGAATGCCAATATTATAATTATGCGATAGTAATACGTTAACTTAAGAGGATGCTGGGGTGATCAAATTATCGACACATTGCAGATCGATAAAAATTTTCGAATTTACTGAATGGAATCAAAAATTCTTTTACAGGATTAAAGTAGATGCAAAATTGGGAGGTGGTGCAGTGGACTTTATATTAAAATCGAAAAAAGTTAAAAACTCATTTATTTTTGAACTCGTAGAACTATCACTTGTTCTCTTACAAAAGTCATACTCATATGAACGAAACAGTGCATCATTCGTCGGATTACTTGAACAAATATACTGAATTTATGAAACTAAGATTAAAAGCTTAAAAAAAAATTTATGTTTGATCTGCAAATTACGTGTATACGTATGCTTCGTTGCTAAACAAAGCAATAACTGTGTCTAGCAGTAGGTGCTCGATTTTGCAAGAGCAATATGTTAGATAAGGACAAATGTATGCGTTTGAGACAGAACGATAATGTAAGAAATAAATTAAAAATATCACTATTAAATATCACTATTACATTTTTAAGTGTACTATCAACATTGATCGAGTTTGGCCGTCACTCCAGCATCATCTTAAAACAGTATCAAAATAATTAGATTTATCAAAAGTACAATTCGTACAAAAGAAATGATGCGAACGTAATCTGTCAATAAAGTTGCAAATTTACTTAAATAAATTAAATGAAAAATAAAAATGATGAACGATTACTCTTTCATCATTTTATAATGAAAAGTAAGATAATGTCCGTCATTCGCTGTTAAAACTTTAACTTAACATCATAATCGCGTTTCAGCTGCATAACCAGTCGAACAAAGTTATAAAATGAAATTAATATTAATATAGTCAATATGTTGTAATATAATTGATGGTCGATATACTCCAGATAAATCGGGCGCAACTTTTATATATTTTTATTTAATAATAATAATAATAATGCATTTAATAAATTATCATGAAAATGCCGTTTAGTAAAATCAAATGAAATTGTTTATGATTAAAGATTTTCTCAATTTCTTCTCAAGTAGCACAGCAGCGCCTGCAAAGCGCTAAAAAAAGCGCTTATGTACAATCTTTTAGTGCTTTTTTTAAATACTTTGTAGACACTATGTGATGCTTGAGCTTCAGCAATGTACACGCTCTAATTGTATCATATTATATATATAATCGAGGACATATCAAAAATAAAAACGTTTCCGTTAATTATGTTATGGTTACTATAAAGTTATATTTTAAATTCAATATTTACTGATTTTGAATATTTTTTTCTAATTTAAACGGATAATTAGATGTGCCCGCATAAGAAAAAAAATAAAATGCGTTATATACATCAATATGCTGTAACGATTGTAGTTGAATAAAATAAAATATTTCTTTTCTATAATAAAGTTGTGTTTTCTTTTTTCAATTCATGTATAACATATATCAATCTAGACAGCACTCAATATTTAATTTATAAAATACCCACTTGTCACCAAAATTATCACAAAATTATGTATGCATTTCTGTTCTTTGCCTAAAGCATAAATTTTCCGTTCGATATATCATGATTCTTAAAATAAGATTGTGGACCAATATTTATAGCTGATTGCCTGAAGAAGAAAAATAAAAACCTAGACATATGAGATAGGTTGGTCAATTGATATAAATAATAAGATACAACTTAACAATTTTCGATGCTTTATTCATGCATTTATTTTATTATACATTTTTTTCTCAGACAAATAGATAATGCAGCAGATACAATAATAACATACGTGCTAAATTTTAATATTTTATATTTCGTCTTGTCGTAACCTACTCTGATTAAAATCCAGTACTTCTAAACTACATTTTACGTCTCGATATAATCGGAAAATGAGTAATTCTTGTCATTTTTAGTTTACGCACATACGTACGTAATAAATGATTGGAGAGTTAATTTTAAATTGTAATAATTAAAATGAAAAAAAGTTAACGTATAAACACAATAACACAGTACTTTATAATTTTATTATACAAATATAAAATAAGCCTGAGGTGCGGAGATGCAATTATGATTGAGCGATCTGTATATTAGAAAGGTGGACAGTAACATAGGTCAGCTGGGCAAAATTTTTAAAAGAAAAGGATAAACACAGATTTATACTATTTGACGATGAATGACATCGATTATATAAGAGTCAGAGGTTTGCGAGCGTTTCTTCGCGCATGTTTTCAATTTCTGCCGCTCCCACCATCTCTTTTAACTCATCATAGGTATTTCTCTTCGTCGTACCATCGCAAAGCGCAACTGCAGTATGTGCGGCAGGCAGTTATTTCGGTACATAACTCTTTTGAGTAGATACATAGAGATGCCTTGACCCATCAGTTCGACTTTTTCATCCTTCTGCGAACATCGACCTTGATTCCCGAGGTCAAATTGAATATCACATTTCATGAAATTTTATCGTTAATGCTCCTTTGAAGCTTATAAAAGATCTACCGTTTTTGGTATATGAATATTCTTCCTCGCAGAAGAAATAGAATCAAATCAAATAACATCCATAATGACATGTTCTCTTCTTGTTCATAAATAAATCCTTAAACACGAATCAAGTCAAGAATTGAATTTCAATATATATACATTCTTAGTTTCTCCTCATTTATCGATGTCATGTTTTATTATAGGGATTTATGTTATTTTAATATATGTTTTACGATTTTGTTTTATTTGATCGCACTAATCGTTATATTCAATTGTTTCCTCGTAATCCATCGATTGTTGAGACCTGGTCGACGAGGAAGTGACAGATTTAACCGAGGTCGATGACTCTACGACTGACTTTGTTTGGACGCTTTGCACAGATTTCATTGTCGAGACGGATTTCGTCGCAGACGTTATGTTCGTCGATTGTTCAACGAGACTGCTGTTTGAGTCGTTTACTGAAAGAATATATGTAGTATTACTATCGTAGATTGTCACAGATTTTTGAATGACATGCATTTTGAAGGCTAATCAGATTTTGTGTATCATGCATTATATTTAGCAGATTTCAGTTAATAATTTAATTGATATTATATTAACAATTCAAAAATTGTATAACCTCTAATGATAATAAATCAATAATAAAAGCCTCTAAGAGATGATGCAGGTTATTATTGCGAATTAAAATTTATTAAAATTTGATACAATTAAACGTTTCAAACCATGGTTTACAGAGTTCTCTTCAGTAATTGCGTTAAAATTTAAAAAGTGAGATTTCTACATAACTAAAATCAAGATCGATAGTTTATATTGGCGGCGTTCATAAATAAACTTTAAAGTTCTTAGGTTATTTTAGATTTATCTTTTACATTATTATTATAATATTTTTAGTCTTATTCGAAACTGATCTTATAACTTGGGATTTATAGTCCGTTCTTAATCTCAAGAAGTTCTTAATATCAAGTCATATCAAGTAATGACTTAAGATACAACTAATACAACTCTTTGATTGATTTATAATATTTTAAGCACTAACTTAAAACCATCAAAACTTGAGCAACGGCTGTAGATTCCATCTAAAGTCTCTTTTCAGTCGGGAAACCAACAGTGGTAAATATTTATAATTTGCAGAATATATTATTTTTGTTCTTTATTCTTTACAAATATTAATTTTAAATCAATAATACAAATAAATCAATAATAATTAAGAATTAAAAGCAATAAAAAATTGGATAAGTTCCTAACTGTAATTCATTCTTACTTATTTATTTGTTTATTTATTTAGTCGTCTACTCTACATTTATTGATTTATTGATTAATAATTCATTCATTCATTAATATTAAAAATTATAATAAAATTTTAATTAGGAGAATGTACAATAAGCGCGAGTCTCATAACACGCTGGGCTCGTGCGTATTCCGACCCGGCACAATTTGATTGATCTTTAATCGTTAATAATTCGATAAATATTAGTCTGAGCCTGAGAAAATTGAGAAAAGAACTTTCAATTCAAAATTTCATCCTCTTTCATTTCTCAGAAATATTAATTAAGAGTTATGGAATATCTTGTGTGTGTGTGTGTGTGTGTGTGTGTGTGTGTGTGTGTGTGTGTGTGCAATACAGGATAATAAAAATGATAAAATATCTCAAAAATAAGGCATTGGAGAAAATACGGAGAGAACCTCTATATATGTATATATGTCAGTTGCGAATATATTTTTTTTCATATCAAATGCAGTTAAATAGAAAATCTGATCTTCGATAGTAGAAGTTAATTTTAATTCTATAAAAAAGTTAAACTATTTGTAATTTATCATACGAAGTGAGAAAGATATTTTAAATTTAAAATAGACAAGAACTAATTGAGCGCAATGGTAATAATTTCAATAAGACACTTTGAGATAAATGCAAACTCCAGTCCGTTGACATTACCTTTGGCAACTTCCATGACGGTGTTTTCGATGTTTTTGATGGGATTCACAAGAACAATGATACGACAATGAGGCGAATCATTCAAGGTTGAACTCGCGAATGGTAGAAGAATGTCGGAGCTTCAGGTTATTCTAAATTGGTAGCATGATGGCGGAGAGGGAAAGTCTAAGATCACGTGACTGTAACTGAACTAGCGGGGGAAACGTAAAAAATTACCGTACGAAATATTCATGGAATCTCAACTGGTGGTAGTGGACAATGTAAATGCAATCACTTGGCGCGAGACACTACCATGTCTCTTGATGCTGAGTCAATGCTCTTCATTTTATGACGATGCGACATTCCGTGGATGAGTCATCCATAATTTTTCACCCATCAGTTTTTAGAAATTATATTCGTAAAATAGAATTTGCCGTCCAAAACGATATAAACCTATAATAATAATATGTAATCTATGGTATATAGTAATACATGTAATCGAACAAAAGTAAAGGAATATCTGTTATGATCTTCTACATATTTTATTGCTACAATTTTGCATAATTAATTCTATATAATTGTTATCTGCAATTACTATGAAAAATTCTAATTATATAAATTTATCAAAACAATTCCGCGAAAGTTTTTATTAACTTTTGCTAAGTATAATAAGTATGAATAGATAATCTATAAAGTGTTCTACAATGGAAAAAGTTAGCAGTAAAAAATTGATCAATCATAATCAAATAAAAGGTCATAATCAAATAAAAGTCATTAATTGACTATTAATTGATCATATATGAAGTATAAAAGCTCAACTGATGTACAATCAAATATTAAAAAATAATAAATTTTGAAGATCCGTTAACAGTCAATATAAGACAATATTTGAGAGAATAATAATACATATAGAGAAATAATAATACATATAGAGAAATAATAAATTAGACAGAAAAGTATAGAGGTGGTAGAATTAAGACTTTGAAAGAAGATCATGATACAATAGATCCAATAATTCCATGTTTCTTTAATAAGTTTAAACTTTGTTTTTGTTTATGAATAAAAATCGTCACAGATACCAGTCTCTTATTTAACGATTTCTCTTCGTCTACTATCTTGACTCCAATTAAAATCATATTCTGTATTCACTCTATGTTTAGTTATAACAGAATGTTGAGAGCTGTTCCTATTAATACGGCTACGATGTTCTAATTTTCAATAACTTCTCCGTTTGGCCAACTTAAGACGCCTCACAATTAATTTTGTAGATCGTATTTGAGTATGTTAATATCGGTAACTTATTCTTTCGTACTCTAATAAAAGTGTTCAATTTATTGAGACCTGTGTATGCAAATTTTATTAGCGAGTTATTTTTAAATGATTTTTTAATTTTATTAGAAATTGTAGGAACATATATGCGCTATCATCTTATGATAGACAGGCGATAACTTATCGATTCATATATACATATATGTAAATAGTTTTGTCTTTTAAGTTCAAAGGAGCTATAGTGTCTAATTCTCGATATAAGGCGCAATCTACGAGATAATACATTGTCACAACTCAGAAGAGGAAAGCCTGTACCTAGTCATCTATGATATATTACTGTGATAATAAAATATTATATGTAGCACATTTCGATGGAATTCTATTTTTTAAAACTGAATATTTTTTCCGAATATCTAAAATACTAATTATAAATCTAAAGTAGTAGGTTTTATGGATTCGTACAGTAATTAATATTTAAAAAAATCGACGGATGGTATTATGTATGGAAAGCTTGATACAAATGCAATTGGAAATTTTATTCAGAGATGGCACCGTTCAAACACAAAACTCCTCTTACCTTGAAGA